GCTAGGAATGGAATTTTGCAGAGCCTTGAATATATGGGCAAAAAGCTTTAATTAGAAAGAAATTTGCAGAGAAGCGATATAAAGACATACAAGCAGAGCTATGCTGAGAATTTCCTCAGAATTCCATTGAGGATCAACGAGTATGTTAACAGCAGAAGGAGATCACTTTCAAATCCGTTAATTTCTTTGTATTTAAGGTATTTTGGTGTCTGGCATTTAATGAAGTATGTGATGTTATCTTTGCTGATCTGTTATCATGCTCTCTATACAGCAATTTTGTACCTGTATGAAAAATTTCAGTGAAAGGCCATATTCAGTTACAAATAGGTCTTTTGGCAACCTTGTGTTCTTTGCTTATTCTGCTGCTATTAGCCTGGAGTTATGACATTTTACAGTGAGAAGTAGATGTTTACTTCTCAGATGAGATTCATTTTTCACTGCCTGGAAGATACTGGCTACTGAAATGTTGGAAATTTCTTCCCCATCAGACTTCCTTTTATTTTTTCCTGTTATTCTTCTAACTCACTTTTGCTATTCACTTGAGAAAAGCTATATTGAAACCTTTTAATCCACTGTTACTTATTTATATTTTTATGTTATTCTTTAATCCAAGTCATTTATTGTCTCTGTTTCTGCTTTCACTCTTAAGGTATAACTGCATAGTTAATGTTCACTTCCCCACTCTTTACTGAGCTTAAATAGCATGTGTGTGAAGGCTCCTGGAAGACAGTGGAGAATCTCACAGCAAAAGGAAAAATGTCAGACCAGAGTTTGAACGGGGTTGTGAAGAAAGATATTTTCTGAGGTTTGGAAGGACAGCATTAGATCCCAAACATCTGGTAGTTAGGACTGTATAAATTCTGAACCTGTAGTTTCTTTTTCATTCGCTTTGGAGGCTATTGTTGAAGAGGGAAATAAGTCTTTGTTTAGAACGTGAGGAGGAGCCAGGGCAGCAACTGATGCTTAACCTTGGAGAATTAGCAGAACTAGGGAAACAAACTGAGAGAGCGCAGTAGGCTTACATCCAGCACCAGATAAAGTAATTTACCTGGCTTTTGAAAAGCACAAAACTGCAAGTTTGTGAATAGCTGGGCTTTCGTTTTGTGTTTGCATTCTGTGATTGTGCTGACCTCCTTTATTAAGTGACTGCAAGTAAGATCGCAGCCAGCTGAATGGGAAGTGAGGAAGGCCACCTGAATGAATTTGCTCTTTATCTGTGTTCTGTTGCATCTATCCAAAGTAAGAAAAGCCTCTGTAATGAGGACAAGCATTTCTGCAGTCTGAACCTCTTTCTGTCACTGCTTCAATTTCCTCCTACGTCACTGGAAATTGGAGACAATCTGAAGAACAAGAACATCCCTTAGCACAGTCGTCTCCCCTGCCATTTCTAGTCACCAAGTGTGCCGCAGGTTAAGCGTTATTTGCAGAGTGCTCAGGCAGCTAGATCTCATTTGGGAACCCACAAAAAGACTACAGCCTCACAGGCCTCTTTCCATTAGATTTTTGTCCTCAGAAAATGTGTTTAATGAGCTGGTCTTCAGTGAGGTCAAACACTTACTCACTTTTCAGAAATATAAGGGAGGTACACAAAGCTTCTCTAATGACAATGTGAAACTCTTTTCCAGGTCAGATCTATCCAGTGGGCCTTTCACAGTACCATCTATAGACATTAAGCCCATCACTGTCGTAATTAGCCCGTAGCAGGTTAACTTTTCTACTGCGAAGTCAGTTACATTCCGGAGGTACCTGTTGTGTGACCCTGCTAGGCTGGTCTTTTTATTTTTAGATGTATGGCATCTATTATTTAGTTTTACAGTAATCCCTAGCAGTCACAAAAATTCACATTTTTCTAAATTATCTGCTCATAATGTAAAAACCTTGAAGTTTCCACACTATCATTCTTACAAGTCAGAAAGTAAATAAAACAAAAGTGGTCTATTTCTTTTGTCTTCTTAGAGGTTATAAAAAGCGCAACAAATCCTCAGCAATTTAATTCTAGTGTGTTTTGAGAAGTAGCCTTGCTAACACTTGAGAGCGTATGACAGCCATATACAAAAGCACATAGCTCAAACATCTTGTTGTGAGGCAGGTTTTCAAATATAGCTATTTCAGTAATTCTTATAAAGCTGCATACATAAATGTTGCCTAGATGTATACTAACTTTTGAAATTCTTTAGTTACAGAAAGAAAAATACTATAAAAAATTGAGATTCATAGCCTTTCAGAATAACAAATGTTTAATGCTTTACAAAATTCGTCTCACAATAATTACCCAAAACTAAATTCTTACTTCACATCTTACTTAAGTAATGCATAATATTCTTCGGGAAATATGAGGAAGTAATGTTTTTTATAATTGGAATTTTGTTCCTTAGGTCTAACTAGCTGTACATAAATAGCATGTTATATCTTCATCTTGTTATTTGGATTGATAAATATCTGTATTTTAAGACACGTATGAACTGGTTAAAACTATTGCTGTTCTGTTTTCAGAACAGGGGCAGATTAATTGGGATGTACGATACACCTGCATTTCTATTCTACAATTTGCATTAGAAAAAATAACAATTGTCCCTGCACTAAAATGGTGATTTAAAAAACAAAACTCGTGAGCGACTAGTATACAAAGTGCTGGGGTAAAAGGTCAAGGCCTATTTCAAGCAATATGCAGTTATTGTATTTGGCATTACTTTAAAGATAAGTCCCCAAAGTTTTATTTATTTTGCCATTTTAATTGAAACTGGGCTTTAAAAGTCAACAGAAGCCTGAGCCTTTGACAATTTGGACACATTTCTAGCACTGTTTAACAACTTTTTTTTGCCTTCAGCAGCTGCCAGTTTGTTTAGGCAGTATGTGTATTATAGAATTGTCTGAAACAAATATTAACATAGTCAGGAAGGCTTCCCATAATATGGTAATATGGTAGTCTTTAGGGTTTGCAGCTCTGATGAAAATCTAATTAGGTTTTTCTGTTTTGAATAGCCCTAAACTAGATCTGCAGTGTAGATTCACAACCAGCTAAGGGACCTGCATAATGAAGCTTTCAGCTATATTCATTTGATGCTTAAAAATGCATTGTTTTTCCTTAGGTGTTGTAAATATTTTAATATTTTAACTAAATGCTTACTATGAGCATAGAACAGGCTATAAAACAGCCCAGAGCAGGAAAAATATAGTTTTTAATTGCTTATGACTAAAAGGCACTGTACAAATATGTGAAACCAAACCCAGATATCTTCAGATACTAAAAACACCACGTAATTCACAACATTTTCTTCCTAGCATCTGAACTATAAAATAAGCCTTTTCTGAGCAGTGTTGTGTGATTTAACTGCTGAAAGAAACATCTGCTCAACAGTTGCAATTTTCCCACTATGGCATGCTCCAAATGATGTCATCTTTTCTCTCCCATAATAAGTTAGTTTTTGTGTCTAAATCTTCATGTTTTGGCATCTGTGTAGGGTGACTATTACAAGCCTTAGGCTGTTCTGAATTCTGAATGCCTGGCATGAACAGGGTATTTTTCAATACCATAGAGCAAAAAGTGCTATTCTTACATTAACAACAAAACATGGAACAATATACGATGATCCCAGGAATTGTATGAACTGAAGGAAAAATGTTTGTCTTTAATTTCGTTATAACAAAGCACATGTATAATAATAAAGTATAATTATAATGGATAGATTAATACATGGAAATCCTATGTTTTCAGTACTTGGTGTGCATCTACTATGATGGATAATCCTGTATGTTGGTGATAATATTTTGTTTACATCTATGTAACTCTTATATCTAGCATGAATCTTTCATACATCTGTGTAAGTGATCTACTTTAAAGACTCAGAATTGATTCAGTATAAGCTCTGACAATTCTTAGGGTTAATCTAAGCTATGTATTACAAACATATTGGCACCAAAAGTTAAAACTTCTTATTAGTTAATGAAGTAGTGAAAAGGAACTTTTTACATTTAAGCAAAGAAGAAAGGACTTCAGGCATAGGAAGGAATTTCCATATGCTTTAGATGGCTTTACAGATGGGCAAAACTCAAGTAAGCTGTTGCGTAGCTGTCTCACAGTGTATTGTTTCTTGGGGATAGAGATTTTTTATGGAAAGAAATGTATAGTCTGTATATTAGAATTCAAAATATGAAGGCCCTCAGAGGTAACTTTGAACCTGATTGACGGTCTATAACCAGCATATGGACGGATGCATAAACAGGAGTTCTGCACAGCACATCGCACTAAGCTCTGGAAAGTCAAAATGTGTCCTGAGATAGGTGGTCACAGTAAAATGAAATCTCCTGTAACATTTAGTGATGTTGTTAAAAGACTTTTCATCCAGAGTGTGTAAAACTTTTAAATAGATTAGAAGCTTAAGATTCTGTTCCTCATAGTAATTTAGTTCCCATCTGTGCACAAATTGCTATCGTATACTGAATATTACAGTGTTCTTTATTATAGCTGGAAGAACCATTTGATTCAAGAAGCTCAGCTGTTTATGTCATTATTACTTGGCCTTTTCATAGCTACCAAAGGGAATAAGAGAAGAGGCTGCTAGTGACATCTTTGCTATTTTTCACTGTAGTGACTGTTTCTCAGGCTGGTAGCTATCAGTGGTACTGATGTTGTTAATGACAATTTGCTTTGAGATTGGCCCAATGGAATTATTGACAAGTAGTATCACATTCTTGCAATTTACGTTTGGCTGGTGAACTAGAAATATCTCACTGTACTGCGGAAGTGGTAGCCAGAGCGATATTCCTGTTATTGTTAACCTCTCCTAATTCTTCCAGCTTCCATTTTGCCTGTGTAATCTATCATATGAAATTGGAAGATTTTGCTATGCAATCAGAAGCAAAACAGTCAGGTTTTGGTAATTAGTAGTTTTACTTGTTTGTCACTTTTGATAAGAAAAGCCAGAAATGCAACTACTAGCCAGTCAAATGTTTGCGATTTGAATATACATAAATCGGTCTTCTACTGTTATATCGTTTAGGTTTTTCTACAACAGTGGAATTTCTGTATGAATTGAAATATCAATCAGATAAAATTAAATCTCAGCTTGACTCTTTGGTGGGTATACATCTAATGCAAAAAGAACGAGATACAGAGTCTGGAATTATAACACTGATTTTTAATATAGTGTTTGCACCTAACAAACCAATGAGGTAAGTCCTTACTCTTCCTTACTACTAATAGAACATGCAATAAAATCCTATCCGATTAAGTTTAGCTAAGTATACACCTCCCTGCACTTCTTCATTCTATTTTCCTCTCTGAGATCTACGGTCTTGCTGCTTCTGCTTATGATATCTTTGATATTAAAACTGACAGTGTTTCTTTCTAATGCCTGCTGGATGGTTCTGTTGAGTTACTGCCCTATTCTGTGTGTCCATCAATTTACTTGTAATCATTGGAGTACTGAAAGTGTTACAGCCTCAAATGAAAATTACTTGCTCTCTAAGTAAAGCATAGAGACAGGATAGTCTGTCAGCCTCGGAAAAACATTTCCTAGACAGACATGTGTGCATATTCTTTGGCGAAGTGGGGTGGTTTATCATGAAATGAGTCTGCAGTTTCCCAGTAACAATGGTTCACAGGAAAATGGTACCCTCTTCTATAGCTGTGATGTAAAAAATGGTCATTTTGCTTTGCTTTAAATTAGTACATCCCATCCCTTTAAAAATAAACTGTGAAAGGGCCATTCTTTTGGAGAGAGTGAGAAATTGTGTCTTTCTTTGGAAGAAGCCAAGCATGTATGGTGGACAGGCTTTCTTGAAGCTTCTATCAAGAAAGTGCAAGCAAAAGAGAAATTGGGAGGCTGGATGCTACCAGGAAGAGAAGAACAGACACTGCCAGAGTGCAGGGGTTGTGTACAAAGGATATTTTTAGACTGCAGGCAGGGACTGTGTTGGCAGTAGTCGAGTAAGTTATTGGAACAGACTAAGAGCAAGCCACTAGGAAAGTCTATCCACCCATGTCCACACCTTTTCTATTTCTATTCTGTGTGTCCTCCTCCCGCCCTTTCTTTTTAAATCTTTATGTACCTGAGACCTGTCAAGCCTGGGGTAGAGGACGGAAAGGCTGCAATTAAATTGGTTTCTTTATCATCCAGATCTACAGCACTAATTCTCTTTTCAGACAGTTCAAAGCCATCATAGTCTGGCATTTTCTGAAAGTACATAGACCTAAGTCAGATCTATTTGGTTCTAATATGTACTGCTAACATGTTCGGGACCAAATTCTCCTCTAACACCAGAATAAATAAAGAATAACCAGTAAAAAAAATTGAGTTAAATCAGAGTAAACAGAAGAAGAATCAAATCTCTGGGCTGTGCCCATCGTTTTGCTTTCATATTATGTCCTTTCTTACATTATACTGTAAATATCAAGTGCTATTTAGGCTCCATTCCAGTCTAAAGTATAACTGATATATACTATGTCATATAAAATTTAAGACACCTTCCAATTGAAAGCCATCTGCACTTTCATTTTACTGAAGTATAGTTCTACACACACAGAAGCTTATTCTGGATATTTGTTTACTGAGTTTATGTTTTATTATGTAGTTCTGTGCAATGAATGCTTTAACTTAAACTTTAAGGAATGCAGCAACTCTAGTAGTACAGTGTGCCACAGGAGGAATCTGGAAGTTTCCAATACTGTTCATCGCTATGGAGCCAGAAGTGGATGATGTTATCAACATTGAAGCAGCTGGCCTGAATAAGGAAACTATAGTTGGCTTTAAGCTTACAAGCCAGACAAGGTAAAAATACTTATGATAAAGTATTTATACAATTTTCTGAAGGTTGTAACCTGTGCTCAAATACATCAAATATGATAGATTTGGGCAACAGAAGCAAAACTGAGCTGCAGCTATCTCAGAAATAGGTCATTACTTCCAAGTGCCACACTGTGTCGGTAGCGAATGATGGTTCTGAAGCTGTACTATAGGAAACAGCAGGGCTCTACACCTCAGTCTATAGCCACCACGAGAGAATTGGTGGAGTAGGTCCAGATGCTTGTGTTCTGACTCTAAAGTTTTGCCATGAAATGCTTTTGGGTGTTAAAATATATAACGCAATGCTAAGGAAGATGTGTCATGATATTAAAGGCTTACTTTACGGAACATTTACAGAGCTCTAAATGATTTTACTAATTGATTGTGCTAAACTGGTTGTTTTTCAAAATACTTTATGCGTAAAACAAGCCAAAAAATCTTTTATATTGTGCTTTAAAAATTTTAGAATGAGCCATTCTTTTTAAAGTATTCGTATTTTATTATGTAGGAATGTTACTGCATTCTTGTTTACTCTGTCCTTTTATTAGATATAATAATTGTGTCAGAGTCTTCAGTATAGCAGGAACTCAAGGATTCCATTGTATATTATAGATAGATAAGCTTTAAAATAGTAAAAAGTGAACCTGAAAGACAATCATGAGGCTTACAATTTAATTAGTTTATGGAAGTCTTAAAGCTTCCTTAAAAACTTTTTTTTTTTTTTTTACTGTATATCTACCCAATGTACCAGATACTGAGATTAATAATTAACTTTCATTGTAGATGCATGCTTTTGCAGCATCCCCAGGAAGAAGTGTCCTTGGTTCTTACTGATTTTTCTAAGAGATTATTTCCAAAAGCTATGCATTGCAGATGGACACTTATTCCAGCTTTCAGGTGACTGTCAGTGATGATAATTCGTGAGGACTCTGAAAAAGGCTCTGCTACAATGTTCAAGTTAACAGCTTCAGGAGAACGGGCTGTTTCAGGAACAAAAGTGAAGCAATTGCTCTGGCAATACTGTAATCTTTTGGTAGGTGTTTGATAGTAGTGAAGAGACCTAATGTTCTCAAAAAAGGTATTATAAAGTCTGAATCATTACAGTTATATATAGAAGGAGCCTTGATGGAAGGCAGATTCTCTTTTTCCTTCAAAAACATTCAAACTTTATTTTATATAAGAAGGGTTCCCCCATACACATTTTACATACAAAATGTAATGCTTGCATGTAATGAATATGCTCTGTACTGTGAACAGTGCCAACAGCTGCTCTGTAAGTTTTGTATTGCTTTATCTTATGTTTGATTTACTTAGGGTCTTTTGGTGGTGAAGATTTTGTTATGGAAATAGAGCAGTCAGCCAACTAAAATGTAGCATTCGGGGTCTTTACTTTAAAAGCAATTACACAAGAAACCTGTATATTACAGATGTAATTTAATGCTTAAATAACTCAAATAGTTTAGATTAAAAATAAAGCCATTAAATATTAAAATATGGATTAAGAGGTTTCAGTTGGGATATGGAATATCAACATATAGCCCTTTCCAGAGAAAAATGATCACCACTTTGGGTTTTTTCCTAAGTAAAGAGTTAGCAGCCCAATCCAATGGAGAATCGGTTCTGGTACTTTAAAAGAGGTGAGTCTTTTTCCCTTGCGTATATATATTTATATACTTTCTGTATTCTTTTCTTATGGATAATAACTCATTGCACTGGTTCTTTGAATGAGAGTAACTAGCAGGGAAACAGAGAGGTGTTTTCTGTGTAGCCCTCTAGAAAGGAAATCTACAACTGTGTCTGTTTCTCTTTTATCTACCTCTAGGACAGAGCGGTTGCGTGGCCTCACTACGAAGAACTGTACTTCTTTTGGGGTTGGCAGGGTTCATAGTGATGCAATGCAACAACAAAAAATTGGGAACTACTGCACAAAAAAAGGGCAGTATCTTGTTAAGGGTATATTAGGATTCTCTGTGTATACCAATTTAGTTGACAAGCCTTAGTGACACCAAGAGCACCTCTGGTGGCCTCTATAAAGCTTTAAGGTCAATTGTTTTAAGTTTTTTTTTTTAAATATCTTCTTGTCTCTTTAATTCCCCCTACCCACAGCAAAACGTGTAAGAAATACTTAAGAGTAAATTAATGATTTTCCAGTTTACCAGTAAATATACCTGATATAGTTGCTTCAGAAATGATATTACAGTTAGAAAAGGGAGGGGAGTTACTGTGCTGTTCAAAATGATTTATAATATGAAAACTCTGAGAACCTCATGCAAGTATGCAATGCATTCTGTTTTTTAATAAATTTAAAATAGAGATACACATGCCCCTAATGAGCAAAAGACCAATATTTTCAGTGACTAGTGAAAGATACTGGGAATCCAGCCACATACTTTTGCTGTATGAAGAAAATTCAAATATATTTTTAAAAACTGTCTGCGCTTAGGACAATTGTGATATATGAGTAGTCCAATATTTTATTTTCAGCTTAACAAATTCAGAAAGGACATACTGTTGGGTGTTTCTTTATAATGACATTAAGATTGCTTAGAAATAAATAAGTAGATTTCCCTTGTTAAGTACGAAAAATCTGCCATTTTATAACAGTCATAGATGATCTTTTGTGGTATTTGTCATAAATGTAGGCTTAATTCAGCACCAGCTGAAATCATTGGCAACATTTCCACTGAAGCAATTGGCTTTGGAGCAAGCCTCTAGTATTTGTTTTAACATTAGTGTTTGTTTTAGTACCAAATGCATTACTGAAAGCCAATGTAAACTGATGTGTGTAATGACAGCGATATTAGCCAAAAAGGAATAGATAAACTGTTACCCCTATAAATAAAAATTATATAAATTTGTTTGATATCCATTTTAAAATATTGGTCCTTTCTATTTATGCTGATCGCTATGTGTTTGAAGCAGAGTACAAAAATTCTGACAGTGATGCTGTGCTTAAGAAAACTAGTCCTTTTTGCATTTGAAGATTACTGAAAATAACTTAGTTTTTAATGTATTTTTAATCAATTATCTTTTGGGATCAGGACAGTTTTACTAATAGAGAACTGTTTTCTGGAGAATATTTGCTACTATATATTCTAGTACAGATGCAGTTGCACTTATTTCTTCATGTTAAAATATTGGCACCCAGCTGCAGCAGAGTGTGCCTCACTTATTTTCCAGTGCAGATTCTTCAGTAGCCAACATGCAACATGTAGATAGATATATATGAACACTGCTTTCACTTGAAAAGTTTTGGTAATTTGCATTAATTTTGAATGTTTGTTCAAAACCGTGGATAATTCTCTCCTGTTCATTCTATGTTCTTAATTCTCATATACATAACGTTTCTCTGAGGTAATTCTAGCTTTCCATCACTAAATTACTGATGGTTTGAATCTTATATTGCTTCCTCTATACAATCAAATTTTATCCATCCTACTCTTCCGCCCCAACCTTTCATTCCAAATCTCTGTTTATCGCATACCAGAGATTTCTTGCATTGAGGAAGCTTCTCAGATGAACTCAGACTATGCTTCTGTAAAGCACACTTAGTGTCAGCTATCACAGAAGCCAAAAAGATGGCATTGGTATGGTCTCCACAGAGTGGCATATGCATAATCCAAGGCTCCGCCAGATTGTGGAAACAGGGGTAGAATAAAGAGAGAGCAAGAAGATGTGGACTGGGAGAAGACAGGAAAGCTGAATTTAGACTTTAAAATGACTGCATATGCAGATTTAGTTGTGTTAATAGCCTACATTTCATATTTTGTACACTGAGGTGGATGTGTTCCTTATTTCATCTGTGCTCATCTCCTAGTGCATAGAATAAATGTTCAGTAAAGAAATTCCTTGATCATAGAAAATGAATGTTAATGCTGTCTAAAGAATAGTGAGCAATCCAATTTTTCCAGTACCTTCCATAATTCTAAAGGGAAAAACAAAAATTGCTTTATAGTTAAAACTTTGAAAAATATTTCTGCTTTTCTGTAATTACTGCTGTATTTCATTAGAACTACCAGGAGCTAGAATTATGAATGCTGCAAGAAAACGCATTCATTAAGTTCCCAGTATACTTACTCTCCCTCATACATTGCTGTGCATATTATAATCCTGAATTCCTATATCAATGTCATTGTTACCAGTTCTGTGAAATTCTACCATTCTTCTAAATATGTAATTAGAGTACTTTATCTTAGTATCTCCCACGTAGTGGCAGCTGCAAAGTACAAATGTGGACTAAGCTCCATTTTTGGAGTCTGAATATAGGTGACATGGTGCAAAATGTTGACAATGCTGTACATGCAGCAGACCTTCCAAAAAGCGACGACCATCCTTCTTAGCACTATGATATCTGAGATTTAACATATTTAGCCAGGAACTTTATTTAGCCGTATTATCGGGACCTCCTCTAGCAGGAAAAGCCACTTTACCAGTCTGTCTATATAGTACATCTTGGTATGAAGAGAGTTAGATTTTCTGAAGACAAAAATCATAGCTCCTGCTTTTGATTTTACAACATGTAGGCATCAAAAGTGATATTATATTAGGAAAAAGATACCTTGAAAGTCATTTTGTCATGCAGTGTTTCATCAAATTTTTAAAAGTCTTCAAATGCTGAAGCAATCTTTCCAAAACTTTACAGTGGTAAGTTGGATGGACATCTCTTCTGACGTCCAGAGTTCAGGATTTACAGATGCTCTTGGTATGTAATACAATCAGCTATGAGGAATGATGAGGACAATCTCATTCTTTCCTTATTTGTCATTTTTTTATTGAAAAATAACCATCTAAATCATGCCAACTATGACTAATAACTTTAGAGAATTTCACAACTGTATAATGCTAATGAGCGTATAGAAAGAACTTCACTGTGTAATAACTAAAATCTCATGCATTTTCCAGCAGGTGTTAACTATGAATTACAGCAAGTGAGTTCAGTTATGATTAACTATTTTTGGAAGCACATTGCAGCATTTTCAAATCGCACCCATTATTTCCTTAGCAGTTATATATTTCACAGATGAATAGGCTATGTTATTCTTTTTTTATTGAAAAAAGTACATTTGGTCCAAAGTATCACACAGTACTTTTTAAGTATGGTTTGCAAAATACTGACTTTTGTTACGGAGTGCATTTCTAAATTTCTGTAGGAATAGTTCGCTACTTCACTAGATTGAGGAAGAGCTAGTGTAATAAAGACTTCATTGTATTTTCAGGATTATAAGTTTTAGAGCACTTTTTTTTGGTTGAAGACGTAAGGTGCTATCTGTTTTCAATTTACTGGTTTAAAAATTACCTAACGTGAGAACACTGACTAGCATAAACTGCTATATAAAAATAATGTGAAATGAGGATTAAAGGAGTAATTATAATTATGTCTATTAAACGAGCTCAATTTCCACTCTTCCTGTTGTCATGATTTTATTTCCTAATTAATTTTTAAATTCAGTTTAGTATTTACTATTGTTCATTCTTTGAATAAGGAGAGAGTTCATATTATCTGATAGCAATATCCAACCATTAGGATAGTAATTATAGAACACGCGAATGGGAAGACACATTTGCTTCTCTGGTTTAGATGGCCTCTACTTTATATTTACTAATTCAGTTGTACTTGATTTGTGCATGTTTTCAAAACTCTACCCTACATATCATTCAGCTTTATCAAGTAAGTCTGTATCTGCCACCCTTGACTTAGACAAAAGCCTTCTTGGGAAAATATGAAATGCTTCATCCCTATCCTTCATGACTGAGAAATGAGAAGCCAAAATGACTCCAGAGCTGTTTTACCTGGAGCAGTAATCAAAGAGCAAAGGAGGAATTAATTGTTAATAATTGTAAGCAATGTAATTATTAATTTTTAATTATACACTAAATATACAGACACTGAAAGCTATAGTGTTGGAAATTTGGGTGCTGTTTTGGGGACTTTGGGAATCTGTAGCTTTTTCTGTACTATAGATGATGACAATGAGAAGACATGCTAGCAAGCTACCAAGGATTCCAGCTAGTCTCCCTGATGTGAACATCAGTGAAAACACCGCTTGATTTTTCTTGTGTGGCCATCTTTAGATATATTTTTAACAGAAAAATCCATGATTTATCAGAACTACAAGCACTATAGTGAGAGGTTCCTGTTTCTAACTGTATGTGAATAAGTTTTTAATTGCTAATTCTCATGCCAGTCGCCATATCCACCTCAGCATCTTTTTTGGCCTACTATATTATTCAATTTGATAGAATTTCTGTTTTCCTTATTTAGACATAGGTCCTGCTTCAAGGAACATTTTATGTCAAGTAACTGACTTCAGTCTTCCTAAAACTGCTGGGTTTTAAGGAAGGGAAGAGAAGGGAAGGGAAGGGAAGGGAAGGGAAGAGAAGGGAAATATTTTAGGTGTGTATATATATATTTTTTGTGTGTGTGTGTGTATTCAATCTTCACAGAAAAAATGCAGCAGCCTCTAGTATCTTTTCTCAATGCTATCTAGAGGCATGTTGATTTTTTAAAGCATTTTAATATTTTTCTTCATTTTTCTTTCTGTGGATGAAAATCTGGCAAAGTTAGTGCAATATGATTTTTTTCTGACTTGGCAAATATGAGTATCTTGCATGAACAGTTATACATAAGCTTTCTGACAGTTTCATTCTAAACTATCTTGTCCATTTTTTGGGATTAAAACAATGGCTTTTTCTCTTGTACATTCTCTAAATGTTTTGAGGACTCATTTCTGGTATTTGAAAAAAGTTACTGTCATCACACTGCTAAGGTGCAGTTTCTGCAATAACGTCCCTATTCGCTTGTGTCTTCTGTGCATGCAGCCTCTCCCACTTCATTTAGCCTTTCGTCATTAGAGCTATTATCCGAGTCATGCTCTTGTATCTCTCTTGAAGACGCGAAGCGTTTATTAGTAGGTGCCATCCCTGACTAGCTGGATGCTTTTCCTACTTGCCAGAAAAGAGACTGAGCACAAGGGAGAAAGAAAGCACTATCTTACAATGTTTCCTGTATTCAATAGAGCAGTTATGTTAGAAGAGGAAGACCTGTATTCAGGTTCCTGGTGCAGATCAGAATCAAGGCTTAAATCTCACACCGTTTTTGATGAGTGCTCTACTCTGCCACTTAATATAAGACTACTCTTTTCCATCCCTTGCCTGTCTTCTGTGTATAGTAGGTTTGCTGTAAGGGTTCACATTTGAGCAGGCCTTACTGGAAAGCAGATGTGAAAATTCAGGGTTTGGATGACAAGAAGTGAGAACTCAGGCCGTAACAAGATTGGTGCTTATAGTGGTATAAACGCAGCTGCACAGCTTGAGGTACCACAAAAAGATTATCAGCATAAGCTTGATGTCACAGGACTTGAAATGCAGCTTCAGACGTTCAGTAGTTTCGACCACCTTGATGGCACCTAAAGGAAAAGTTAAGCTAAATCCACTAATGCACCAAAGTCTGATGGCACTAGTAAATTTAATGTTCTTCTATAATTTTTTTGAGGAGGCGGAAGGTTTTTGGTTTCCATTTTTTGTACTGGCACTGTTTGTTTCTACAGACTTGGAAGCTGACTTTTTTCATGATAGTACTTTGAAGTTAAGAAAATTTTTCATGAGAACATATGCAAAAGGAGAGCTATTTATAAACAACATAACATAGACCCAATGTACCATCCACTGCATAGCACTTGCCCAGGAAATGTGGGACATTTCCATGGAGATATGAATAGTCATAAAATATTAAATTACACTCCTTTGTATTTTCTTTGAAAAGCAGTATTATTTCTAGCGTGACAACCCATGAATACACAGACTTGAATAGTTTTCCTTTGAGTTGTTGTTAATTTTTCGTTCTTCAAGTTTTATCAACTAAAAATGTAGCTCTAAGCGTGATATTTGCCCTGCTGTATTATGGCAGAGTGTCTTGAGTTGTTTTTTGAGAACAATATTATATTTCCACTTCAATTTCTTTTGTTAACCTTCTGTATATTCACAGGTTAGCTAATGTTCATATTTTAAAAATGCACACAACATAGAGTAAGAATAGTCAGTACGCTAACAGAGTGGACTAGCCAGATGGGAAGGAACTATAAGACTGAAAGTGGCAAAGGTCCAGGAGAAAGTTGTTCAGATGGGTTGGATATTGAAGAATTATGGGAAAGAAAGTGCAGAACATAGGCTAAGCAAATGAAAGTAAAATAAGAGTCTAGATGGCAATGGAGATAACCTCTGCAACATATGACAGGACTGAAAGGAGAATACTTGACTGCAAAGTATGTAATGTATACTTTCATGCTAAGAATATGTTTATGACAAAGAGTCATTGAGGAATTCTGATAGATAGGCTTCATTTTGGGATTGGCTAAAAACATTTCATTTCCTCTCCTGTTTTTTTCCTCTCCTGTCCCAGTTTTTCCTGGGAACAAGACATTTCCTTTGATATTAAACAAGTCCTACAATGTCTGTGACAAAAGTTCTTATGAGGCTCAAGACATACAATATCTGCAGAGGAATGTAATATTTTTTATTGCGATATTTTAAAGTGTTTATTTGTGAAACAAGGAAAACTTGGAAAACAGAGATAGAAAACCAGAATTTCCCATATATTCATTTCAAGGCTTACAGAACTCCTTCCCATTCTGGTAACACTCCACTAGACTGCAAACTTGGTCATAAAACTTAATAAAATGGTTAGGTTGTCAGTTTTACTTGATTAGAGATTAGAAAAGTGAGGATTTTTAAACAAGAAAAGTGGAGTTTCAGTCTGACATGGAGTTTACTTCTATTAGTATTATTGAAATGGGTAATTTTCAGTAACAAAACATGTCCCTATGCATAATTTCAGCTGTCTTGACAAACTGAGAAAAGTGATTCTGCTTTTTTAAGTGGAAAATCTATCCACTATCATTATTCTATAATTAATATAGTATTCATAATAAAATATTAATGTTGGAAATGGAAGACCTATGTTCAGATGTCTATATATAAAGATTATAAGTATTTATAAATAAATGTAAATAATTACTACAGGATAATTACTTTGTAAGTAGCAATGCTATTATTATTCTGTAAGCATTCCATAGGCTGCCAAATTTCCTGATTCATGCTACATGGTGGCATAAATGTTTGGTTGTAGATAAATTAGTATTAAGATACTGTAAAATGCACAATATCCTCCTGTGCTTTTTTGTAGGTACCCAGTGCCATTCACTGCATACTTCCTGGCAGGCAGTGATCCTGAGTTTGTCGTACTGCCGCAAGCTGGGGAACTTCTCCCAGTAGGCACTGTTGGAACCCATATAACAGTGGGATTCAAGCCAAGAATGTACGGCAAGAAGCATAGAGCAATACTTGTAATTCAGGTAAGTCTTTGTAAATACAGTACATCAGACGATAGTACTCCACTTCAGGAGTGGAAGGAAAAACACAAAAACACACAGATTCTGATTATTTTATTGCTTTTCACTATAGACAAGAATAAAACTCAATTATGAAAATTAACTTGTGGCAAGCTTGAAAAACATCTTTTAACTTCTTTGTATTTATTCTCTCTTTCACTGGAGATAGATACTCATATTGGCACATGTGTCCCAACTGTATGCACAAAATGACAGAAAGATTTTTTAACAGAAATTCAAAATAATCATATTAAGAAATAGTGGAGAATGTGAGTAATTGAATATGTGAGGCCTGAGTTATTGATTTTACTTGTTTTATACCATATTAGATCAAAGGCACTAGAAGCTAGATACTAAACAGCAGAAGTCAGAATTTCAGAACACAAATCCAGGAATAACTCTTTAAAACTAAGCCTCAAAGTAAACAAAAAGAAATGTTAGTTAAGCAACTTCTGTCAGACTGAAGGTCAGGAAACGTATTAGGATCTGAAGACATTTATACCCAGAGGAGTAAATATGTATGTTCTTACTACTGCAGGAATGGATTTTTAGAAGTGTTTTAAGTCATTCTTAAAAGTGAAAGAGTTTATCCAAAATATATAGTAGGGGTAAACACCCTAAACTCTCTCCAGATGATGATTTCTACTTCAAACTTATTCACTGCATGTTGGCAGTGTTTTTAGGTTACTATACTAGAAGTGAAACAGTAACACTGATTTACAAAATAAGAGGGTCAAAATAGAATTGATAAAAAGATGCATGGCAAATAACTGAACTGTTTTATCTGTCTGAGTGGCAACTTGTACAACAGTGCATAAGAAATTTGAATTCTAGGAAAACAAGAAGACTCTTTAATCCCTCATACTTGTTTTGTTTTACTTGATTAGACATTTGATTAGTTCATTCTTTTTACATAAACTGCAAGGATAGCTTTCTCTTTCATCTGAAAAAGAAAATAACTGATTGAATTTATTCTGTTTTCTTTTATATTTAATGTTTAAATAATGTTGTGTGACACATTTCAGAGCTCAGAAAATTCTAATGTACTTCTGGAACTGAAGTTGTGTTCTGAGGCAAGATGCACTTAAATTAGCCATGTTCATCTTTGTCTTAACTTCCAGTGCTAACAAAGAGCTCTACCAGGATAAATTGGTCTGGAATGTGATAAACATCATGTTCAAAGATTATCATTAGCTTTCTCAGAAGTCAGTCTGTAATCCAGATTTTTCTCTTTTAGGAATTTGTCAGTACAGAAGATGTGCTCTGAGTAATTGGATTTTTAACTTACAACTTACATCTCAGTCTCAGGTTATGATCTAAACAGATGGCTCTTTACATCTCCACCTGTGGTGCTATGTATGGTTGTAGCAATTCACTCAAACATATCACTGCTGTGGATCACATCTTATCCAATCTACTCCTGTATGTTCAAAAATATGTTGAAGGCTCTAAATACTTGTAAGCGCAAATATTTTGCAAACCAATGATACACCATCACAATACATTAGAGATCTTTTTAACATCCTTACTCTACTTGAAATATTCAGATGCTTTGATGCTTTGATGAGACTTATCTTGTCTTTCCTCTTATTGAAGGTCCTTTTGTGTACACTAAACTTCCTTCTTTCCGCTGTATAAGAACCTGTCATTCATGTAGTCTGTGACTGTTGGTAGTTCTGCTGCTAGGCTATCAACATCTACATGAAATGAGACTTGATGATATGTTGAGAATACCAGATACTCATTTCCGCATTCCCTGTTAGCCAAAATAATTTGCATTACTGACCCTGAGGGAGACAGATTTAGTTTGATAGTAAGAACAATATTAAATCACTCTTATTTGGGGAATAATAATGAAGGTGAAATGCAATTAATGTTACACCTAATGCTGTAGACCCTCCCTTGCACACATTCTTTCTAGTCAGTATATTGGCTGAGGCTTTGGCCTATTTTTAAAAGCGGTGAGGAATTGTCTGTTCTTTTTCTTTTACAGTGTTGCCTCTCTTCTGATACTGCTATAGTAAAAGACTACAGCACTCTTGCTGTAAAATTTCCTTTGCATTTCTGTAAAGCTATGGTCTTAGCACTAACATATTTTTATTATTAAATTCTATGAATAAAGAGTAGCAGAACTGTCATTTTTGTGTCCTTCAATGAACTGTGATAATTAGGCTGTAAAGTAGCAGAGATGACATTGTAAGTTCTTTCTCAGTTTTATGTTGGTCATTACAGTTGTGTTGCAAAGTGAAACAGGAAGTTGGGAGCACGAAGAAAGATCCTACAGTCATTTTTTACAACAAATGAAAACATTAAAGCCAAACATTGTACATTAAAGCCAAACATTGTACATGCAAATTTTTGTTTCTGTTGCCCTGCTGAGAAACTCAATCCTGCGGAGCTAGTTAGTGTTAAGAGATGGCAACTTATCTTTTCATGTACATTTTATTAACTGAATGTATTTATATAATTGAAATAGTGTAGCCTCATTTGTATTTTATGTACATAAATCAGGTACTTCATTGGATATTTTTTGAATCCTTTAAGATTTTAATATTCATTAATACTTACAGTAGATTTTATGGACAGCAAAAAACCTTAATTACTTTTCTAAAGCAATTCAATGTTCTTTAGCCATCATTAAAATTTTTATTCTCAGTCAACTACATATCAAAACAATTCAAGTTAGACAATTACTTGAATAGCTGTAAGAAATCTTAATTCTATAAAAGAAGTGACATGGAACTTGACTTTAAAAATTTCTGTAGAACAGAGAATGGAATCAGAGAATGTATAGTAAATAGCCAGTAAAGAAAACAATCATGGATGTGTATGTAGCCATGAAAGAGAACATCATAATCTGGTTGAGTTGCAAGCATGAAACAGTAACACATTACATAAAGAGCGTTTTAAATAGGTATTCCATAATGAAACTTCAACATTTACAGTAGCTTTCATAAACAGCACAGTTCTAACAAAACAAAGAGGTCTTGCCCCTAATGATAATTTCATGAAGAGAGCATGCTTCTTAGATGAGATACATAGCATTGTGAGGAGAAAAAGAAGTTCCTCGGACAAACTGACATCTCAAACCTAGGTTGTGACATGCTGCTAAACACAAAAACCAACTGAAAAAATGGAAAACCAGCTGAGATTTGGGTAAACGAGATACAGTTAAGGCAGGACAACAGGGAATTTTCTGTAAAGGCTTCCTGGAGCTGCAGTTGCTGCCAGGCACAAGACAGAGCAGCCAAGAGGCTGGCAAATATTAGGGAAAGGGCATATTCAGGTTGGTTTACAGTTGTTTTGCTGTCCTGAGTTGCACAATCCTTGCACTATGCTGAATTCAGCTAGAGATCAGAGCAATTGCTTTGTAATTCGTGGATGAGACTTCAGAGGTATTCTAAAGCAGAAGGCAAACAAAATAAGTCTTAAATGATAAAATACATGTCAGAGTAAACCAGATTGCAGATAACATTATCAAGCCCTCCAGAAGTCAGGCTTCTGCACTTTTATGACTGAATAATCACTAACTTAGCCTATGGAAGATAGCATATCAAAACCATTTGTCATGCTGTTCTGGAAATAAATGATGCAATGTGCAAGCCACGGTTGCTGGGTGTGGCTTCTCTAAGCTTTGTATGCAAACTTACATGTCTTAATAGAAAATGGTAACGTAATGTATTCAATAGCTTGATGAAAATACATCGTGCACTATTCCTCTTAGATTTGTCACCTACCATAGTATGTTATTCTAAGTTATATCTGTTAAACAGAATGAACAGGAAAAAATGTAAGAAAGCTAATAAGATAATTGAAATACTTTCACATTAAGAAAGAAATCACCTGTGTCCCTCACTGTTGGTTGATGTTGACCTGAGTTTTATATTTAAAGGCAGAGATCCAAGAAGTTGATTACAGACCGTAAATGTAGCACATCTATCATTAGCATTACTGGACTTTGCGTACAGAATCAATACTAAGAATTTTTGAGTCACAAGCATGAAAAAGTTTAGTTTTCCTACTGATACTACAATTCCCGTAAGGCCAGAAGACAGTAATAGTATGAGAACCATTGCTGTCAGAGGGTATTCAGACCATTTCCATTGCCAAAGGCATGGTTGATATTGATTGTATTGCATCTAAGCAATGCTGTGAAACATAAAATATTTCAGCTTCAGAAATCAATTAAACCGCCTTTAATTCTATCTGGAAACATTCCTCTAATTTTAAAAAATTACTGCTTATCCATCTTCTGAATTAGAAATGGGAAGGCAGGACCATTGATGCATGTGCACAGATCCCAACTTCTATGTCCACTATCTGAAAAAGAAGGACAAACATTTTTCACAGGCACCCCCAGACTGTGTTGTCAGGTCTGATCTCTCTGTTACCCTTTGATACCCTGAAATAAAGTGTTGGTGACCATTTCTCAGAATGGCTCAGTACTCTGGTTTTAAGATTACCACACTCTGTGTGAGGAATGGCTGAAGTCAAGTAAATAAATGATATGTTTTGCACCGTATTTTAATATCCAAAATCATTAGGACAGCTGTAAGTGATGGCAGAGAAGATGAGAAATGAAAGAAAACTGAGCTTATTGCCTTATATGCTACAGTCACATCCAAAAGGCTCTCTCCCTTTCTCTGTTGTAAACCTTTGTGGTCAGGATTGTCTTCCTAAGTGCCCTACCTTTCAAGTTAAATTTGTCAAAGAGAGCATCTTCCTGAAGAAGCTTTCATGAACGATTTATTTCAGAGAAAGTCCTCCAGGGCTTCAATTCAGACTCATATTTTCTCCCCCACTATTAGTGGTATCTTTACCACTAATTTATGCAGGAAGTTTTTTCATATTCCTTCCTCTTTACTTCATCTCTTCAGAAATGTAAATGTTACATTGTCCTAGCAGGATTTATGTTATATGCTCTGTGACAGTGCAAATAATTTTTGATTCAGAGGGAAGTTAAT